TCACGCTTCTTAGCCTTCCTCGGTGTACCATAAATGCAAATGACAATAAACTAATACTGCGTTGTTTCAGGTGTCTTATGACTCATACAAGTGTGGTTATACTACAAGTTATGGTATATCTCGAAGTTAAATATGAGGATCTTTTAAGTCCGTGTGTTGTCCGATAAAAGTAGGTAAGAGCAATAAATGAAACAGTGATCAATTGGTGAAGAGACCATCGTGCGTTTTACAATCGAATGGTGTCAAATTTGTCAAGATTTAAAAATGAGACGCTATGGAACATGGTTGGTTCTATGCGACACAGAAATGTAACGATTATTACATTTTTGTGTCACATAACCAGCTATGTTTCATAGCGTCTTACTTTTAAATCTTGATAAATTTTATATCATTCCACTGCTGTAAAACGGACAAAACTTAAAAGATCCTTATATTTAATTTCGAAATATCATAACTTGCGATCAGTATAATCACACTTGTAATCGCTTGATATATATTATAAAACATTTGATCCAACGCAGTAGTTTATTGTCATTTGTATTTACACTAGAGAAAACCAAATCGAAAAACCATGATCGAAATGTTTGTAACATGTACCTAATTGATTTTTCACACAGCCCGTAGGATATCACTATTTTTGTTGAATCAATTATACTAGATTAATTTTATTTATTTATTTATTTGCGAAAATTATACATAATTAAAAATCGCGAGTTCTTCTATTTTAAGATACATATTTTATTTGCATTTAAAGTTGGATTTTGAACATTAATTTTACAGCTCGATAGTTAATGGCAATTTCTTATTGGTTGTGTTTCTCACATGTACGGTTCTATAAGATTTAATATTTAAATATTAATTTTATAATTTTTATATGTATTATTATTAGCTTCAAATTAATTATCTGTTAACGAATTAATTATATACTGGATTATTTTATTTATTTATTTAATATTGACTTATATTTTATACTTGCAAAAATTAATTAAAAATGCGAGTTCTTCTATTTTAAGGTACACGTTTAACTTGTAATATCATTTTTGTTAAGAATTGAATAAAAGTGAAATTATAATTTTAATCCATTAAAATTACTTTATTTTTATTATAAATCGTCGGATTATCATGAAATTTTTAATCGTGTCGATTACGAGTTACGAAGATATATGTTTTCGATGGCGCGCAGCGCTTTCACGAGGATTATCCATTCTTTACCACTTGCATGACAGCAGTACAGTTGCAGAAAACGAGGAGATAGCTGTACCACTGACTTATAGTGAATCCATAATTAACCTTTAGTCACGTAGATCTTTTCTCTTTCGATCAGTAAAGTACAAGGAAAATGATGTTTACTATTGGTACATGCTTTAACAAACGAAATTGAATTTGTTAATTAACAACAGTTAAGAAACAGACGCGTTTTTATTTATTCGTTTGTATTTTGAATTAGCTTCTATTTCAGGCTAATTCGAAATACAAGCAAATACAATTGAACGGACGATTACATGAATAATTATAATTGTTTGCTAAAATACTTAATATTTTCACTTTTTAAATAATTTACATAAATTTTATAAAAAATTAGCTTTAATTATTTGTAATTTCAAAGGCCTATTTAAATTAATCTGTATATTGACTGTAATTATGATAGCTTTTAAATCTACTATATTAATACAAAGATTCTTTTAATATATATTTAAAAAAAAGGCTACGAGCAATAAATAAACAAATAATATTACAGTATCTCTAAATTATAATAAAGTGATGTATGAAATATATATTTACCAATTAAACTTTTTAACTTCGATCGAGTCATTTTCAATAACATAAAACAAAACACACACACAATAAGACTAATTTACATTAAAATAAGACGGTACAAATAAATATATTCGGTGGATTCAACAAATAATTATTTTAAATAAAAATTAATACGTATTAATAGTATTAATTATTAATACATACTAATTATAATTTAAAATTTAAAATTTTATACAACTTGATACATTTTAATACGTGTATCTTTTTGTATGAATGTGTTCATTGAATGAATGAATGAAAATAGATTCTTTAAATATTTCTTTTATAATACAGCACATACAATTATAAGTAGAATTCTATTGCGATTTATAAAGCGAGTTTTAATAAGAATTATAATTGGCTCTGACGCGCATGATGATTTGCAATTAATAAATTTCTTTCAATCTAATTTTACATATTTCATTTATTAAATATGTAAAATTAAAATTCGGAGTAATACTAACGATTATACTAATTATATGACTTTTTTGATAGCTTTTTTTCTAAAGTTTGAATTATACCCTCTAACTATATGCTATATTCTAGTATCATAAATTGAACAGTTAAATAAGAATTTATGACATACTCTTAAAGAAGAAGAGCGTAAGCTACTTTGAAAATAGCACGTCAACCTGGTTACTCTAGGTAAAGAGTTAATATTAGCGCAAGTCTCTCAAGCATTCGCTCAAACTCTGTTGCATTTGTGTTTTGCAAATGTCTACGTTGATTGACAGAATAACGTTGTACAAACATATTCGTCACAGATAATTGTTTAACTTGAACATTTTCAACATAGTGATATTTGAACTTTTACTTCTAATTTCCAATTCCGAAAATTAACAGTAAAATAATAATACAGATACATATATTCTAATATTGCATAATATTATCGATTATATTTATTGTAAAGTAAACAGAAAAAAGAGGAAAAAAAACGTATGTTAAAGTCACTGTTCTTGTTCATTGATAATCTTATATTTGTAATACTAACATCTTTTTTCATTTTAATGTTAAATAATACTTTTCTCATATAAAGTACATTGGAAAATGTAAATCATATACAATATATTTTAAAATAAATTAAACGACATTTATAATTAAAAAATTATATTATACGATACTTAGTATTATTTAAATTGTTTGTTATTTAAGCACCAGTAAATATTAAAAGAATTTGATGTATACTTTCAGTATTTCGTACGTGTCAAAAGGCTAATGCTACATAGAAATTTACGATTATCTTCAAAGATTTACGTTTTATTTTTATTTTCTTTTCCAATGAAAAAATATTTTCTTCATGTTTACAAGCAAAATTAAAGTTGTGTAGTATTTTGTAAATTAGAGAAAACGTATAGTATTTTGTAAATTAGAAAAATTAAAGAAGTAATTTTGTGTCTAAATCGCAGGTATCGTGTTTTGATAAATTATTTATTATACGTATACTTTCGATTTGAGTGAAAATATAATTTTGTCAAAAAAAAGCGTTAATAATTTACAATGACAATGCTTACACACACTTATATATATTACACATATATACATATATTAAATTATACATGTTAACATAATAACGTTAATACTCATCGATGCGGTATCGATAATTTAATTCCGGATGTAAGATTCATAATACGAGTAGCAGTATCGTGAATCAGGTTCCGTTAAATTGTCCGTAAACTCTCGACGTCGAGAGAATGCAGAATAAAAGAAAGGAATATTTAGAAGTGGGGCACCTACATAACTCGCGTCATCATCACATCGTCAATCTCAAAGAACGTATATATGGAGAAGGAACGATTGCTATCTAATTAACTATAAAGGAGAAGTAATATGAATACGCATTCAATTCTGATTATGAGCGTCTATTTTAGCATCGACTGAAGTATCGGAACTTGATTTTTTTTATACTATACGTTGAGATAAATAATTATTAGCAATTTCACAAATATACTTTAATTATTTTCATTTTTAGACATTTTATCTATATTATTTACCACATCCCTCAATTCTTCTTTAATTTTACAAAAATTGTTAGCTTTAAATTGGTAATGTATAATAACTTTTTGAAAGTAGCAACACACAAGGTATAATAAAGTATTTGAAATAAGAGATTACAATTTCAATAATTGGCTTTGACGCATTTTTTTGCAAAGATAAGGTTAATAAAATAAAAATCTACTTTTCGCTGAACCGCAACAAGATTGCACGCTAATGTAATATCACCAGCGATTACGAGGTTATTCTGATGCAAGAATCGCGTACCACTTCGTCGTGAAGGGCTGTAGCGTGGTTGACATCAGCGTGCCCGTGCGAAGTATTCTGCTTCGTACTCAATTCAAGATTATCATTCTCCGCGAGACAAACCGCGGATATTTCGATGTGTTGAAAGTGCGATGTTTAGAAAATTCTCTTTTTGCACGTGCACTTTCTATATATGTATACGTTGCACATATTAACCACACATAATATTCTGGAAAGCTATAACGAGATCGTTGCGTGGATGTACATAATGCACGTCAAGAGCCATCAAAGTATCATGAATCTTCGTTTAATGGCGGTGCGACAATATGGAGGACATTAGATCCTTCGCCATGTATAGAAGAAACGACAAAAGTTAAATATTTATAATAAAACGAGCTTCTCTTATATTATATATAATCCAGTGATACTGATTTCTTTTCTTTTTCTTTTTACTAGTACTAATTGCTATTCTATAAATTTTGATAATTAAATACATAAGATTATGTACTTAATTAACAAAATTGCTGGCATATAAACAATTAGTACTTAAAGCAGTAATTAACAACAATTAATGCGCAATCTTCATAATGTATTGTAAAACGCGAAAACAATGTTCAAAGTTTATGTATTAATTATTCATATATCGAATAAAACTTGAACCTCTTAAAACCTAAAACTTGAATTTTCATTTATTTTCTAATATGAAGAACTTATTTGAAATTGAATTTTAATCAGTTTTTGGAGAATTTTTTTTTAATGTTACACTAAACTTACTTGAGTTAGATACTAAAGAAAATTGAAACACAGATCGACGCAACATACTGATCTTTCTTTTATTCTCCGCTTTCTCTCTCTTTCTCTTTCAACATATACTATAAACATTTTAAAATATTATCAAATATATAGCACTTTCTTCAATTTGAAAATTTGTGAAAGCAAATATTTGTTATAGATATCTCAACAACATGGCGCCGAATTTATTCGGCAGTTCAGCGACTTTATTCCTTGAAGCTTCTCAGCAGGATGTGTCGCAAAAAAAAGCGGCAGAGAAGGCGATAACGCAAAAATTACCAATCCAAAAGGCACAAAACTCGAAGCCTAAGTATCAGTGGAAGATTGTCTGGAGAAACATGATAGCTTTTGTCTATCTTCATCTCGGTGCACTTTACGGATTGTATATTTTAATAACGGCTGCCAAATTTTACACATTCCTTTGGAGTACGTTTTGTTTACTTATGTACCTTTTAAGACTTAAGATTTAAGATTTGAGCATTGTTTTATAAATTGTCATTAATTAATTATGAAGAAATAATATAAAGCATATTAACGCATATCATATTAACAGCATTAACTAATAAATCTTTATAAAATAATAATTGCAAGTATTTTATTCACGAAAATAAGTCTCATAATTTTATGTCGGCAAGCTTGATTTTATTTATTCTTTCAGGTGTATTAGTTGCAATTTCCGCAGCTGTCGGTGTTACAGCAGGTGCTCACAGATTGTGGGCTCATCGAGCTTACAAAGCGAAATGGCCGATGAGAGTCATTCTTATGCTCTTGCAAACTACGGCTTTCCAAGTAAGTCTCTCAACAATGAATATAGCAACTTATTCATACAACAATCATTATAAATTTATATTTATTTTATTGTCTTGTATGTATTCTCTAAATTCTTTGAAGTGAAATCTTACTCTAAAGAATAAAAACTGAGTCAGTCTTGAAAAAGTGTAGCTTAATTTTTACAAGTGAGATTTAATTTTTTAGAATAACAATTTACTCTAAAAGTTTTAGAGTTATATATATATAGTTTAAAATAATATATATTGTAAATATATTTTTAAAGAATTAGTTTAAAATATATATATGACTTATTGTTTGTGAGAAAAATTAATTTTTCTGTAGAGAAATTTCTTGAATGATTTTATATTTATTATTTAATGTACGTTTTATAGAATCATATTTATGAGTGGGTGAGAGATCATCGAGTTCATCACAAATTCACGGACACGGATGCGGATCCGCATAACGCAAAAAGAGGCTTTTTCTTTTCGCACATGGGTTGGCTTTTGGTTCGAAAACACCCTGATGTCATTAATAAGGGGGCGACGATTGATATGAGCGACCTCGAAAAGGATCCCGTCGTTGTCTGGCAACGCAGGTACGACAAAGATACTATTTTTATAATTTTAAATACATATATCAATCGATGACGTTTTACAAATGACATTACTTCTTTTTTTTTTTAAAGAAATTCTTTAAGAAAAGAAGGTTCACTTAAGTAATATGAACTTTATCAAAATCAAGGATCTTCAAAATAAATCTGTTTGTATTACAGGCTTTACATCGTTCTAATGCCTGTTTTTTGCTTCCTACTTCCCACCTGGGTACCATGTCACTTTTGGAACGAGAAACCTATGTACGCGTGGTATTCTACCCTTTTCAGATACACACTCTCACTGAATCTGACTTGGTTAGTGAATTCCGCAGCCCATATATGGGGCATGAAACCGTATGACAAGTGAGTATTATTGAAAATTCATTAATTTATTTATTTTATTACGTGCGATGGTTACAATTAAATTTAAATATAAAAAGCATTAAATATACTGCTAAGCACTAAAAGAGACAAAAATAGAAAACCAAGGCATACGAAAATAAAACTATAAGTTAATAGCTGATATAACACAACACTTGATTGGGATAAGCATTATTTTAATATCACAATACTACAACAACACAATACGCGCATATACATATTAAACGTAATAGCGTAAATGTAATATAAGTATATAGCAAAACAAAACATGGAAAAAGATAGTAAAAAATATGAAAAATAGCGTAGTGTTTTTCGGTTGACATGAACAGTATAAAGTGTAATGCATTAGAAGTGTAAATAACACTAAAAAGAGGCAAGATAAGACAAATAGGCAAGATCCGCTTTTGTCATTTATCCTATTGCACGAATTGTAAAGCTATGTAAACGGAAATCGATAAGGAAAACGTTATCTTTTTCGCAGCACCATTAGCCCCACTGACAGCCTCAGCGTCGGCATTGGCGCTTTCGGTGAAGGCTGGCACAATTATCATCACGTGTTTCCATGGGATTACAAGGCTGCCGAATTGGGCAACTATCGCACAAACTTTACCACCGCTTTCATTGATTTCTTCGCCTGGATTGGCTGGGCGTATGATTTGAAGACTGTAGCATATAGTATGATAAAGAAACGCGCAGCTCGAACGGGCGACGGCTCGATATATGCGCGAACGGACGATCATGATGAGCACCATCATTCGCACGAGGAAGCTATATGGGGGTGGGGCGATACCGATATGGCACTGGAAGATATGCAGGAGGCTGAAATCATTAATAAGGGCGATTGAGGATCCTTCCGATTCGCCAAAACCTCTATATGTGGCATTACACTTGGTCGGAATTACGCAAAACGTAGCCATCTGACAGATGTTTATGGTTTACGATGGTATTGTAAATTCCTTAATGAATTTGGTGATTATATCTGAAGGTTTAATATATTGTTATACATCGTGAGAAATCATAATTTCTTTTTGTAGCTGTGTAGTACTTATTACATTACTATTAATATTCCATTGATAACGATCGATGCATCAACGATAATAATTGTTAAAAATTATAATTGTTTTCTTTTTTACAGTTCTTATATGAATGCAAATGATGGAAACGATGCGCCTGTGATTACAATGTTTTTTATTTAGTTTTTGAATAGATACATTTTTTGAAGTTAATATTTATGATAACCATTTTAATTTGTAATTTTAATATCATATTCATCTCATTACTTGATATTTAACCTTTTACAATTATCACCATTTTTTACAGATTTTAAAATACTTATACAAATTTCATAAAATTAACGTGAAAAAAATGCCACCGTGTGTACTTTATATATATATATTATCAATAAGGAATATATTACACTCGTTGGGCGTTCACGCTCTACGTTACAAAGCCTCGTTGTGCATTGTCGGATAAGAATATATTCACCCAAAGAACAGTGATCAATCGTATAATGACGTCAATTAATGTTTATTGTATAATATTACTCATTACATTATTATATCGTTCCTCTCTTCAAATTGGTTATTGAAACATGCGAGTTCAATCACCTTGCAATAAAGAGACAAAAATCTTAAGGCGCAACAGCGACTTCTTAGACCGATTAGTTCCAGGTTTGATCGAACAAAAGTTTTCAATCGGGAAATCTTGACTATAAAAGGCGCGTGCTCTTATTTGAAATAAATCTGTTAGAAAAATGTTCGACCTCGTTAGGGAATAAAGGGAAATCTCGTGAATATGAAATAATCAAGCGACGATCTGAATTAGAATGCTGGCGTGCTGTACAATCAATTACGTACGAATTACGAATCAAATTCATTCGTGGCCTTCTAAATGACTGTTTATATGCACTTAGACTTACCGCGTTTATATCGAAACTGTTTCGATACCTCGAAGTCAATTCCGTAATAATTATAACATAATAGAGCACGATCTTTATCGATTTCTAATGCTGTTATAATATCAAATAATCAAATTAATAAATTTTAGACACTATTAGCCTGAAATTAATATTTGTCGCACTTCGTAAAAAGCAAAAATTAATAAAACGATAGGAGATTCATACATATGAAAAGCGATTTAGTTTTAATGTTTTTTAATCATAGATGAAAACTGTAGTTCACATATGCACAAGTAAACAGTATATTTCTCGATTTGTCTCGATATAACAACGATAAAGGTTCCCCGTGGCATTGTGTCGCTTTCATTGTCGAGTCACGCCAGTCGCATTTCTCGTTCTATTAGGAATACGTGATGATAATGAATCAAGACTAATTTATTACGAGAATTAAAAAATAGAAGTACCTATAAATCTTTCATAACTTAAAAAATATATTTTAAATACGAGTAGATATCCAAAATCAATCTTACAAATGATAAATTTACTAAAAAGAACAATGACATTGAGGCTCAATTAGATTAAAAATCAAATAATGGGCTATAAGCCAAGTTGGGTGTAGCTAAAATTTATGTGATTGTAATAAACAATGAAACATTATTAATTATTTTATTGTTTACTACAATCATAAAATTTTATCATTATAAAATTTTAGCAATAAACATCCAGCTTGTGTGTGTATGTGACCTATATAGTCTATTATTTTTCAATTTAAATTGTAAATTTACTTTATTCTTCCATTTATTAATTTTTCATAATTATAGAATAAAATTAACATTCTTAGTGTATGTATATATATGTATATATGACAATGTGTATGTATTATACATATACATATATATACACGCACATTGTCATATAATTATAAATATTTTGATATTAATATTTCAAAAGTCAAAAAATTTTACGCACAAAATTATATAAAAGCATTACACGCGGATGCGATTAGAAATCGGCGATTGGCTATCAACTCTGACATAACTTCATTGGTGACGCGATGGTAATCGAATCACTATTACTTATATAATTAACAAGCGATTTGATGTTGCGCGGCACGGACCCGAATTGCGCCTGTCTTCCGTAAATAATCACCGTGTATTAAATTCGAGTTCGATCGCATAGTCTCAAATAGCGATTGCACAAAACGATTGTTATAAAAACACATTATTCGAACGCGTAAGACTAATTGCGCAATGCGTGATGATTATAATAATTAAATTCTATATCATCTTATACCAATTCGTAACAAATATGTCGAATGATTAAATGGTGTTTATATTACAAAAACCACTATCGCACAATAATTGCGAGTGAATAAATTTTTTCAGTAATCGAGCAGTCACATAATTTTTTGTGAATCTTTATATTCTATATAAGGTTTTACAATAATATAAATATAATATATGTAGGATGTGTGTAGGTAATAACTGATTGAGAATGAATAAGCAATTTTTTTCCTATCAATTATGTCTATTATTTAACATTCTGTGCATACGATATTTTAAAGAAATAACAAATTCGATTGGACGCAACAGTACACATTGGTACATATTCAAATCATTGTAAACAAATTTATTTTGAATGTAAAAGAATTATATTGAATGTAAAGAAATATATATATTGAAAATTATAAAGTAATATAGCTTACCTAAGAACATACTAAAGCGTATTACATAACTAAAACAATTTAATCGGTTTCTAAATTCTGAAAGAAAACTAAATTTTAATAAATATTTGTTTATAAAACTTGAAGTAAATATTTATTAAATGTAAAACTATATATTTACTTGATACAAAAACCATTAATTAGATTTAACTAATTTTTAATCACTTTTTTATTGAATAAATATATTTATTTATTGTTAAGTATATTGAGTACTATTCAAAGAAATATGTATTAAGATTTAGTAAATATTTTCAGCGTATATTTATAATTAATCTCTGTTTACATCAATTATATATGGCATCTTTAATGTGCAACAATGCGCACTGCGTCCAATCAAATTTATTAATAAATATATATGATATCTAAAAGAAATTTTTATTTGATATCGAGATTAAACTTGCAAACAAATCACTTAAGCATTAAAATTAATTTAAGACTTATTATTATATATTTATACTATTAAATTGTTAAAATATATTCGCTCGTTTTTGATTATTTTGAAGTGCGTTTTACTAGAAAATTTTATCACTTCAATATATTTAAAAAATATTTAAAAAATATCGCATGATTTTGTAACTGCAAAAAGAACTTAGGTTTTGGCAGAAATATTTTTTAATTTATTCTGTCTTTTACAGTGATATTTTTATACAACTGTTTTTGCTCTTTTTATTATAATATTTTTTACAAGACTTTTTTGCGAATTTATATTACCATAAATACTTGCCATCAGTACAACTGTACTAATTTGTGCTCTCGTATGTATACTTATCCACATACAAATCTATTTATATCTACTGTGATGGTTTAGATTTTTTTATTGCGACCGAAATGATCATTTGACACAAGAGAAGATTCGTAGATTATAACTAATTCAAGCGCAAGATAGGCCACGATTTTTTTTTATTTTAAGCATAAATTTCAAAAGAGTAGCGTAATCGATATAGATTTCCTTTTTTCGCTTTTCTTTTTTAAGCACAGCCATAAGCTTTAAAAGTGTAGTTTGTAGGGGAAATAATATGGTTAACAATATGAGAGTTAAGACGTCAAAACGAATGACGCTTTGTCATAGTTACGGTCTAGTTCTACACGAAGTAGGTTTTGTTAAGACTATATCGATATATATATATATATGTATATGTATATAAAATATATATGTATATATTAACGCTGTATTTATATGAATAAATTATTGTTATCGATACAAATCACATATCGATGCTGTTTTCATGTTGTACTTGTCATTACTTTACAATACATAATGGATTAATGTAAGAATTATAGTATTCCATAGATATATTGTTACATAACAATCTCAGATTAATCACGTTTGCTTACGTATGCGATTTACTTATCTATTACTTGAGAGTCAATGTCCTATCCCACGTTTCACTTTACAAGGAGCGCAGCACAAACACGAGGTACCGAGTGACGAAATTGCAATTTATCTCTCGTCGTAGATCGCACGGATTGTGTATCCTCCGTAAAGTGCTAATAATTGCTTTGCTTAATCATGCATATTCCTAGAACGGGCGCACCTTTACGACATAAGTTTACGTAATCCTATATTATGAAATTTCTGTTGTTTCTAGATTTTCGCCCTATCCGTGTTACATACTTGGCATCGTGCGTTACGTGTTCGCAAATCGTGATAAAGATATATTTCTTCGTGTGCATAAGCCTCGGTCAGACATTTGACAGTTTACCGAGAGTCGGACGTGACTGTTTTACGATTCCTGCAATGAGATTTACCGGATGTACATACGTAATAGATCATTCATACCTATATTTCACAATCCTACAAGGATATATCGCAAAGATTTATAAAGTAATGTTATAGAATCGTAGATTTTGAATCTTGTAAGTGACAAAAAAGTAAAGTATATTAACTGTATACGCACTCATTGTAATTATACTTTGCAATTATGATCTTTGTAACCATAAATGTATATATACACAAAATGTATCCGTAAAGTACGTAATAACTTTTTACGAATATCACGACTCATGTATTGACAATTTTATGTTAAATAGAACAAATAAGTAAATTTTTTTATTATTTCTTTTATATTTTTTTATTTGCACATAAAATATTGAAGTATGTATTTATTAAATTTTAATCTCATAGTCGTGACATTTCAGTACTATTAACATTACCTAGAGAGAAAAATCAAACATCAAATTTTATTTTTTTTCTCAAAACATTTTAAAAAATATAATGACTCTCTTTGTAAATTTTATTTAAAAAGCATTAAATTTGATATTATTTCGTAGTTCTTAAATTTATTCACTCTTAAATAATTGGATACAATCTTAATATCATCATCATTATCTTAAAATTGGCGTGTCACGCTTTTTTGAAGCCTCTATTCGTTGAGGCTGTTGGTATTCTCTGATTTTGATGTGGTTCCGTATCCGGGGGTATTCGTGGTCGATAATTACGAATCTGAACTCAAAAATTGAAAATTCGAACTGGTTGATTCAATATGGTGGACGTAAAATTAACGTAAATCCTAAAGATTGTTCGATTTTGGTGAAATTAGGTATATTGGTGATTTAGGGGGCGTTCGTTACGAATCCGTACTTAAAAATTGAAAGATCGAAATAGCTGATCTAATATGGCGGACGGAAATGTTACTGAAATCTTTAAGATTCTTCGATTTTGTTGAAATTTGGTTACAGGTGGTTTTTGGGGACGTTCGTTACGAATCCGTATTTAAAACTTGAAAGTTCAAAATGGCGTTTTGATTCAGTCTTCTAAAATCTGTTTTCGTCAATCTGGCGGATGGAATATAAGGGGGATTTTGGTTTTAGTGTTTTTGAAGTAGAATTTAAATTAGCAAAAAAAAGCCCTTGAAGAATATGTACTTGATTTTTCACTTGCAGTTATTTTTCTTTGAAAAATGGATGGACGTGCCAACTTTAGTCTTAAATCAGCACAGCCACACTGTGGATCGAATCCTTCGACGTAAACGATGAGCAAAAAAAATCGGATTCTGGATATTCTTAGAGCAAATAATTCTAGAAACATTTTGAGACCAAAATGATCCCGGCAATTGATTGCTTTAATATACTTTACTCTTGTACGCGACCCAGCACAGCCACACTGTGGGACGAATTTTTCGACGTAAACGATGAGCAAAATATCGGATTCTGGATATTTTTAGAGCAAATAATTCTAGAAACATTTTGAGACCAAAATAATCCCGGCAATTGATTGCTTTAATGTACTTTACTCTTGTTCGTGACCCAGCACAGCCACACTGTGGGTCGAATTTTTCGACTTAAACAATGAGCAAAATATCGGATTCTGGATATTCTTAGAGCAAATAATTCTAGAAACATTTTGAGACCAAAATGATCCCGTTAATTAATTGCTTTAATATACTTTACTCTTGTACGCGACCCAGCACAACTACACTGTGGGTCGAATTTTTCGATATAAACGTTGAATAAAAAAATAAGCTAAATATTGTTTATCAAAATGGTAGAATTAATGTGGCGATCGAAAACAATAATGAAATTTTTTATTTTATATGAAAAAAAATAATTTTAACCTGCGTTCTGACACTAAAGGCTTACATTGTACTTATTTACTTTTAATGGATGTAAAATAGGTTTTATCGCATAATTATATTTTCTGTATCTATCATTTAACTTAACTGTTTTTAAGTATTTTATTTATATTGGTTCTTAAGTGTTTTGTTTATGTTTGGTTATATTTCTCTTTGAAATATTTATCCTGTTGACCGATATGGGGCATCCCCCATTAAATTGATCAGTTATGTATATAACACCCTAACGCAACATATATATTTTTGGTTATATTACGTTTGCGATGTTGTTTGTTTTCAATGTTTATTAATTGTGATCCAAAGCTTTAAGACTGTGTCTGTGTTTGTCAGAGTAAGTCACTCTTCTATTTTAAATTATTTTAGTTATTATTGAGTACTAACAATTTATATATTGTTAACAGATTTATGCTGTGCAATCTGACAATTTATTGATAACTCAATTTTGACAAGCAGATGATATACACACACTAATTTGTATTTCAACAAACAGAACCCCATAGTGATAACGTACAAATTGTTTGGATGACCGATAATATCGTAAATTTTGGGGAATAAAGAAGTAAAAATTTTTTTAATTATTTTGTAAAAAATTTTTTATGCTTCATTATTTTATATACTGCACTCTTCTCTTATTTACCCTGTTGGTTTCTATTTTTGGTTTTAATATTAAAAGTCCATAATATGAGATTACTTTTGGAATTGTATAAATTAAAATCTTTGATAACAATGATCATAAATTAAAACAATAAAAATTTATATAAATATATATTATATAAAAGGAGAAATTGTAAAAAAATTCTAATTTTACATGAAATTGACCATATTGTTTAATCTCATAATTTGATAATATAAGTGAATCAAGCGCTTCTAATTTCAAAAATACGATGTAGGAGATCTCTATTTATTAACCTCGCCTTGTGACTGGTGATCGTTAATGGGGATTTCCATTTTAAAAAATTGTCGTAACTTTGACTTGGTAACGCCACCCAAAGTCAAACTGATAGGAGATCAGTAAATAGATCTTTTTAAATCCTACAATTTTTGTCCGACCACTTTTCTGATTGAACGTTATTCTGCGAAGATAAAAGGATGATACGGATAATTTGAAACACCCGAAATATACATAATGTATCTTTATTGACTCTCTAAAAGAATGTTTCTTATCTCCCATAATATTATTTGATTATCATTAGTCTAATTAAAAAGTCTGCGGCATCATCGCATTAAATTATGATTACATCGACCTAGTTAAAAATGATTCCGATGGATAATAGAGTTGAAACAGATGTTAAAAGTAGTCGATTTTTGTTAATCAAGTAGATTGAGAAATTCTCTGTGTAGAACGGAAATTTTTCATCCGCACAGAGATAAGAACATCTGTTATAAATACCGCAATTACATATTCTCACAATTAGATTTGGTACTTTAACTGAGTTGAACAACTTGTTGATATGCGTAGATAAAATAATCGTGTCGATGAAGTAATCCAAAGATAAAAGTTACATGTCTTAGAAAGCGTAAACGAGGTAGCGTGCCAAGGTAGGCTTTATTCGCTACTTCATAATGTGGCGTGGAACATTTTCTAATAATTTTTAATTTTAATAATTAACTTTAATAATTAATTTCAAAGAAATCATCAAGAGTCTCTTGACAAGAGAGTTTGTATTGTCGTATATTTATTGCATATTCAGCTCATATAGATGCAATCTCATGTAAAATTGAAACACAAAGATCAGATCGTTCGATTCATCATACACATATTTACCAATTATGCGTGTCAAATAAATTAGGTAAATAAATTAGAAAATAAAGAGTATTCAATCGAATATTTGTATAGCACAGATCTCCAAGGAATGTTCTGCAGGATGTTTTAAAGGCATTCTAGTGTCCTGAGAACTTTCCTCTGTTTCCAGGAAAATCTCTGAAATAAAGTGTGCTATATAGATAATTGTAGATATTGTTGTTTTTATGATTACAGATCGACTATTTTAAATGTAATTTTAATTAAAATGAAATAAATAACAAAATGTACAGAGTAGTCCCAACTTGTAATAAAATAAATAATTGCACAACTATAAATATTATACTTCATTTTAAAGCTGTAATTAAAAAAAAATTACACATATTGTCGTTTGTTTTTGAAACATATTTCTAAAAAATTTAAAAACTTTACAAGAAGCATCGTTGATTTTGCAATTTATCGACTTTTCCTTTTACAGATATTCGTATTCTTTACGTTTTACTTGAAGTATTTGAGAACTTACAGAGGATAGTAAATTAAATTACGCGGGTTCCCTCGTTGTATGCACCTTAACAATGGGCAACATCAAAGTCGAAAGCCGACCGAAAGGCGGCGCACCTTACTTCGATGCAGCATCAGCAACGAAATTGGAGTCACTTCGATGTAGCAACTCTTACAGCGCCTGCATTAACTTGAGTTTAATTTGCATCTATCTGGCAACATTAATCGTACTACTAAATCAAACTATCGTCGAGGCAACAAGTTGCGATCAACATGGTAAGAACATATGTAAAACTTCAATTGTTGTCAGTATCAAGTGGAGTAATTAGTCAAAAATTGCTCCTGCATTAATAATGTGCCATGTTTACTGATTACGTCGTAAATCCATAAGTTTGGAAAAAAAAGAGATTATTTCGCAAAAGAAATTATAAAATCGCTTCTAAAATATAAATCAGGATGCATTTATAGTGCGTTTAACGAAAGTTTATTACTCCACATGTTTTGCACTTTGTCAACGCAGCCGGCAACGTGACAAGCTTCTTGAGTATATCACACGAATTTTCGTGATTTTTTGGCGGTAGATTTAAACATTTTTTATATAATATATGTATAGATAATTATTATATAATATATAGATAATTTAGATAATTATAGATAATTATTAATTGTAGATTATAATTTTGTTTGCAGATTCGAATAGACCAGATGATGCATACTCAACATTGTTTGATCCCGATGAAAGCTTTATATTACCGAAAGAAGTCATACCTCTCCATTACGATATTTATTTGTATCCAAAGCTTAAAGAGGGTACATTTTCCGGAAAGGTGACCATTCTCATTAATGTCACACAGGACTACAACAAGAAATTCATAGCTCTCCATCAAAAGAATCTTAACGTCAAATCTGCAAAATTAATAATGTACGATTTGAATGAAGACTATGAAATTAATATTTCTTCCGTCAGCAAGCCTACTAAATATGAAATATTTATCATAACAACTGAAAACGATATTAAATCTGGATTATATAACTTGAGCCTAGAATTTGACGGAAGTCTAAAAGACAAAATAGACGGATTTTATTCCAGCACATATCAGTATATAAGTGATGAAATTAATGAAATCAGGTAATATAAATTAACTATTTTACAAATAAATAATACACAAATTTTGTGATAAATTTAATATATTTTTTATTCCGTGGCAAAATTATAAGTTTGTACGTTTTTTAATCAACAGATACATTGGAACTACTCAGTTTCAGCCAACTTATGCTAGAAAAGCTTTCCCGTGTTTCGATGAACCCCATTTCAAGGCAACATTTTCGATAAAACTAGTTTGTCCTATGGATGATGGCTACCATGTTTTGTCCAATATGAATATAAAAGTATGCGGATAATTTTCGGCAATTAAAAAATTATCGTTTCTTCCGAAAATTTATATTAAACAATTAAACTATTGAACAGTTTATTGAGGAATTATTTTTTGTTTTAGAATACGCAGGAGCATACACCAGAACGTAATTTAGCAACAGTAACCTTTGCAAAAACTGTACGTATGTCCACATACCTAGTTGCTTTTATTATTAGTGACTTTGTCAGTACAAGTAAAATGGTGAAGAACTTAGATGGGCGAGAATTTCCAATTAGTGTTTATACCACAAGACTTCAGTCAAAGGAGAACAGAGATTTCGCAGTGGATATTGGCGTGAAAGCTTTCGAATATTATATAAACTTATTCAAAATTGATTATCCATTACCAAAACTCGGTAAATATACAACAATATTGGGAGTACAAATTAGTTCGGTCCGTTTTCCAAAAGATGATCGCCTCCAAAGACGAGTCATTTTTTCGAGATGGAATTCGAAATTTCCTGAGAGATGGGAAAAAGTAGTAACCAGCGATGGACAATAATTAATTTGTTCATTCATTTTGTTTTGAAATAAATGTATTTTTGAACACAAAAATCAGACCGAACTAATTTGTACACCTAATAGATAACAAAAAAAATTATTAATTGAAATACAGATAAAATTTGTTATATAAGTTTAAAATTCTCAATAAATTTATTAAATTCTTAAATACATATAAATACATATAAAACTTTATCTGTTATGCAGATATGGTTGGGATTCCCGATTTTAAGTCCGGTGCTATGGAAAATTGGGGCTTAGTGACTTACAGAGAAACACGGTTGATTTATAATGACCGTAATAACTCCATTTATGATAAGCGCGCAGTAATTAACGTAATCTGCCACGAAATAGCACACATGTGGTTTGGAAATCTCGGTAAATATATATCATATGTCAATTAAGTGTGGATTCATGAAAACGCAAGATATACTTTTTTCAGTTACTGTAAATTGGTGGAACGATATATGGCTTAATGAAGGTTTCGCTACATTCATGGCTTATAAATGTTCAGACGCGATTGTACCAAACCAGGGATATGTTAGTTAATTCCTAATAATGATATAATCATACATTAATGTAACAATTGAATATATGATAAATATATTTTAATAATATATAAATATTATTTTTAGATGGAGGAATTCCCTGTTCAAGTAATGCAGAATGTATTTGTTTCCGATTCAAAATTAAGCTCTCATCCTATCATTAATAATATTCAAAATACAGATGATATTGCATCATTCTTTGATGATATATCTTATCAAAAAGTACGCAAATTTAATACCTTGTTTTTGTAATAATTGTTTTATTTCATTGATATACTTAAACCACTATCTATTTTAGGGTGCATCTGTAATCCGCATGATGGAAAATTTCTTTGGATCTGATGTTTTCTTTAGTGCAATTAATACCTATTTGAATAAGTATGCCTATGAAAATGCAGAGACCGAAAACCTCTTCGACGTTTTGCAAGATGCCGTTGGAAACAAATTAAACGTAACAGACGTAATGGACACTTGGACTCGACAAGAAGGCTTCCCAGTTATTAATGTAAAAAAGTCTGCAAATAAATTTGTATTAACCCAGAAACGATTTTTGGACGATCCAGATGCCAAATCTGATCCTTCAAAATCAAATTATGGGTAAGTTACTTTATTTCGTATTAATCGATAAAACTTATTTCAAAATTATCACATCTTTCAGATATCGATGGACCATACCCATCACTTATATCACTAACAGAAACAAGAAACCTACTCTTGTATGGTTTGACAGGAATTCAAACAAAGGTTTGATTTCATAATTTACAATAATTTTTACGAATTGTTTTTACGTTTATTTTACTCTTTTTTGTAAAACTTTATATTTTACAGTGGTGATTAAGGTCAACAGACGTACCAAATGGATTAAATTAAATGCAGGTCAAGTTGGCTTTTATCAAGTTAATTACAAAAAGGAATGGAAAACTTTCAAGGACCTGCTTCATTCTCATCACACGGTAAAATTGCAATTTTTGCGTTAACGCAAGTATTATAACCAAAAAATTATTACTTTATCGATTAATACATTATTCTCACTTCTTAATTAATATTCTTCTTAAAAATTTACTTACACTATTCAACAAAATTAAAGCATCACCTGTTTCATCTTGCAAAAAAAGGAGGCAAATTTCTAGATAAAATAACTTCGTCAAAAATCATTGTATCAAAATGTTTGAAAAAGTATCTTAAAGCTTGAAAATTTTACTTTTCAAACCGATACTTAAAAAAAAAAAACAATTTTACTGATATTTCGTGAAGTTACATAAACATAAATAAAAATGCGTTAAACGGCAAAATTTTTTACAAAATTTGAGAAATTCTACGGCGCGAACTAAAAATTGTTCGCAAATGCGGTTTGAAACAAAAAAGGTCATTTTTATTTTAACATTGAATAACTCAATGAAAAAAATCTCACAAAAGTCAGAAAAAAGCAAGTTAAAGGTAAAGATTCAATTTTTCGAAAATAAATCGCATTATTTGTACACAATTTTTAATTCGCGCCGTGCAATCTCACAAATTTTGTATAAAATTTCAAGATTTGATGCATCTTCATTTTTGTTTGTGTAACTTCATGAAATATCGGCAAGACTGTTTCTTAAATAACTGTTCTGAAAAGTAAAGATTTCAAGCTTTAAAAATATCTCGATACGATGATTTTTTATGAAATTATTCTATCTCTAAATTTGCCTATTTTTGCAGGGTGGAACAGATGATACTTTAATTTTGTTGAGCAGTGTATTATACCTACTCTTTTTTTTATTGCAGAGAATATCCTCATTGGATCGAGCGAATCTTTTGAGTGACATGTTTAGTTTAGCTGATGCGGGGGAGATTGAATATAACACTGTAATGGATATAAGTGTATATCTTATCAAGGAAAATCACGCTCTTCCATGGGCGGTTGCGAAATCAAAATTGATGACAATGTATACTCTATTAACTTCTTCATCTGAACCAAATATTGCAGACAAATTTCAGGCAATATATTAATTAAATCGTTAAAAATTTTTTAATACCGTTATGAATATTATTTTTTGAATGTATATAATACATTTTTCAGTCTTTCATATTAATATTGCTAGACACCGCTTACAAAAATGTCATTTGGATTGATAATATGACTGAAGTTATGCCATTAACACACATGGACAGAACACTGCGATCGATGGTGATCGAATTGACTTGCGCAATGGGTTCGCCTGACTGCCTGAAAAGAGTCGGAGAGCTTTTTAAGGAATGGCTAATAGAAGATAAGCCGCAACATCCTGATATTCGCGAATTGATTTATTACTATGGTTGGTCTATCTAATATAAATATTCATTCCCCCCCCTAAAATCATTTAATTATCAAGAAGTTTTAATAGAACGCAAAATCTTTCATTAGGTATGCGTTATCATTCAGATGAGAATGATTGGAATGTTATGTTTGAAAAATTTAAAGACGAGATCGATCCCAGTGAAAAGAATAAAATAATGATGGGGTTAGCAGGCATAAACTCTACTAAGGTCCTACAGGAGTTAGTATTGAATCCAGTGAATCGACAATTCTTAAAATACATTTTTTAATAAAAATTAAATGATAATATCTATTCTTTTTTAGATATATTTCCAGAGCAGTTGATGAGAAATATGTTCGCACTCAAGATTTCTTGAATTGCTTGATTGTGATTTCCAGAAATCCCGATGGTACATCGTTAGTATGGGACTGGGTACGCGAAAACTGGGAATTTTTGGTGAACAGATACAGTCTAAATGATCGTTATCTTGGTCAACTTATACCATCTATTACACGTTCTTTCGCTACACAAAGTAGACTAGATGAGATAAAAGCCTTCTTCGAGAAATATTCTGAAGCTGGTGCCGGTGCTGCCAGTCGAGCCAGAACTCTCGAGATAGTATCAAAAAATATCAAATGGATCGCTAAAAATGCTAAAATAATTGATAAGTGGTTCTTAAAAAACTGGCCGATTAATAAGTTCTATTAAATGTACAAAAAAACAGTATATAAGACAGTTGAAAAAGATAAAAGACTTAACACATTAATTTTTAACAATTATATACTTAAAGACAAATTTTTCTTAAATTTTGATATGATATGCTTCAATTATTGAAAGTTAACTAATAGCCTGAAGATAATCGTGATTTTGTATGTTATTACAAAAAACATTGTCACAAAAGAAACATCATTTTTACAAAATATGGTCTTCAAGGAAATTATTCAAAACGTTAAAATTACACTGCGATCTTTTGATCTAGTCACACAATTATCATATTAATAATTACCTGCAAATATGCTAAATATATATAAAGGCAGTTTTGATCATATATATTACATTTTATTGTTAATCAGTGATTATTATCTTTAAATGTAAATTTTTTGTCTCACACAACACGCAAGGTTTGAAAATTCGTAAACATTGGATCTATTTTAAGATTAATCGCATTTTTCAAATGGCTGGTAATCAATAAAACATTATGGAGAAGAATATGATGTATTTTTTAAACTTGTTTATTTTGAAAAAATTAAATACAATATTTGAATAAGTTTTGTGATAAAAATTAGATTTTTATTGCTTATATAGTTTAAAAATTAAAATATTTCTAAAACATGGTGACTTTAAAATTTATAATACTAAACGATAATAATAAATATGACACTACGAATTTGAAATAAATAAAGATAGTACAAGATATATAAGAGCCAATCACAAAACTTGATGCATAAATTAAATTATATTTTTAATAATAACAGTTATGTAATACAAAAGGACTAGTAAGAGTCAGATAAATAGGAACATTTTATCAAATATTTAAATAAAAGTACTAAGATACTATGATATAATCAAAAAATAAACTTTATTTTACCAAATCTACAAATTAATATCACATGTTTCAGCTATATAATTCAATTCTCTTCAGATGTACAAAACTTATATATCAAAAATCTATCTTATTATATTCTAAAACGCAAAATAAATATATACGGTAAAAGCGCTATTTTGAAGAAAAAAGATGTGATGAACATTCTGGACAAGATAAAATCGTTTAGTGAACAAAGATTTTACTAGTCCGTTTGTATTACATAACTATTATTTTTAAATTAATATTTTTAATGTACTTAGATTATAAGAATTCAAGAATAACGTCCAACTTTAAGAGTTCTTGCTTTACATGTTTCTATAAATTTATATAAACATATTTTATAATATTAAGAAGTATTATAGAAGACTACAATGAAAAAATTAAAAATATATTTTAATTGTACTAGAAATCATTCACACATATCTATATAAATTAATCTTATATGCGACGATATGAATGAAAGCGTTCCTAATTATACTTTCAAAAATACGATATGAATACGCTCTACTTATTAGCTTCGCCTCGTAAGCAGAAGGGTGGGAGTCGTTAATTACATCAATTTCGACGAATGTTAATGAACGCTTATGTGTACGCAACGGTTAATTCAAGTCAATTTTGCTAGCGAATTTGAATGCAAGTCGGCTGTCACCGACATTGTGTAATATCCAATTAAGAACGATTTTCGTCAGAGGTTCGGCTCTTGCATATCGTCACCAACAGCACTTAAACGCGCAGTTTCTCTCGGATAATCGAGCAAGAAGGAGATCGAGAAGTGAAATTGAATGATAGATTAACTAAGATACGGTTCCACAAAATGTTTAATTTATGAGTCTCCTTCGTATTGTGTTTAAGTACTTTTTATCGTATTTCTTGTACTTCGCGTAGTGTTTCTTGTATTTTAATTTACGTCCATCAAAAAAGCTTATGAGAAGCAAATATATACACGAAAACAAAGTATGTATGATTTGTCCAAAAAAATAATTATATTTATAATTTTCAAATAATAAATAATAATTAATAATGAGAGAATAGAGAATTCTGAGTATTTTCCTGTGCTTTTATTTTTAAATAAGTAGGATATGTGAAAATGAAATCGTTAAAGTCGAAAGAACTCTCAGAGACATTTGTGATAGAACGTATCGCATTGTTGTAAAGAGGGAATAAATATTTTTTAGAAAATATTATCAATTGATAGAATTACATTTCTTCTTGTAATTTATTTGTATAGAAAAAAGAATTACTTCTTTTAGAGAAATATTTTTGAGTATTTTTGACAGTAATTTTTGAAATAAACAAATTACTAAGAAATTTTACAATAATTTTTAACATATTTAAAAATATTTATTCCTGATAATCATCACACTCTGTAAAATAATTTAGTAATTCTATAAATATATAAGATTCTTGTATAGATTCTTAAAATAGCAATGCAAAAAAAATTTCTAAAAATTAATAGAAAAATAACTGAAAAGTAAAACTGATTACTTTTTATAAATAACTATATGACTGTAACATATTTTACTTTTCAGAATTCTATTAAAATTTTTATAATATCAACACAACAAATTGTGATTACCTTGACTTTGTCGAAAGAGACGTGAAATCAAAGAACAAAAACGAAAGAGAGTTAATAGAAATAATGCTACTAAAAGCAACAGGATTATTGTCAATCGGGTAGATTGGAAAATTTTATGTAGCATGGAAATTTTCCAGACGCACAGAGATAAAAACATTTGCTATAAAAACTCTACGAGGGATTGCATATTCTCATTTGTATTTCATATAGTAATCAGCTTGTCACTCGATATGCGGGTAACGTGTTGATGAATTAATCCGAATACGAAAGTTACGTGTCCTAGAAAGTGTCCTAGAACGAGCAAGGTGAGTTTTATTATATTTCGCAGTTTTATTTATACTGTTAGACAATATTACTATCTTCAGAATACAATTTGTTTTGAACTACCCAATGAAAATTATATATATATATATATATAATTTTATATATATAAAATATATTATTTTTATATGTAATTATATTTAATTTTATATAATTATATATAATTAAATATAAAACACAGTAGTGCAATACCCTGACTTCGATTGAATAAAATTTTCACTTATAAATTCTGCTACATTAATAATAATAATAATATATTTTTTTGTAATAAAATTGTACACTTATTATTTATATAAAATTCAAATTTTCAACTAATTCGTAATAGTATTATGAAGAAATGATTCAACAAATCTTATATTTCATAATTGAAGTTTATATGCGCGACAGAACACGTGTGCATTCTATAGATAGTGCGCCACATATTAATTTATCTCACATACCGAGTGCAGTGGACTGTGGCGCATGTACCTTTTAACTGCAATAATTTATTTCTAACAAGTCACCGAGAGAGTTTGTATCGTCATTTATTACCCACATTAAGCTCATATAGATGCTGCCTACGTCACGTAAAATTGGAGCACAAAGACCCATTTTGATCAGTTACATCGTGTTCGACAAAAAGTCACTTTTTTCCCTTCAAAATACCATTCCCCAAAGATCTTTATCGTACTAAATACAATGTTGGTAAAATTTTCGTAGCACGCCAGAATATTGAATAAATTGAGGTGAAATATTTGTAACCATTTTCAATATTTTTACGGCATAACAAGACCTTATTTTTATAGTCTACAAGTCTACAGCATATAAAATATAAGTCAAGAATTTTTTAATAAATTTTAATTTAGAATTGCACGACTAATTTTTTGAATTTTGAATTACTTTATATAATTATACAGTTTAATGAAAAAAATAATTTTTTTCTTTTTGAAAAGTGTATGTATTATACTAGTACATAGTACTAGGGAGATTTATGCTGAATATGATGTCGTCGGAATTTGTATATGTAAGTACATTAGAATTTTTAAAGTAAAGTAGAACATAATAAATTGGAATAACTTTTAGCCTATTTTACTCCAATATATCCTAATACACAAATTTTGATGATGGCATCATTATACGAAAAAAATCTTCGATATATGTACTGTTGTGAACAGAACGGTTGCAAAACTTTTTTTAAAATGAATTTTAAAACTCAACCTTGCTTTTGGACAGGATTTACGTAAATGTTAAATCTATACTCGTAAGTAAGAACCAATCGCTCGGCAAGCAATCTCCATTTTGAAACTCATCGAAAGAAAATGTTGCAACCGTTCTAATGTATTATGACATTTCGGAGAAAATTTGATTGTTGAATTGTAGCATACGTGTTTATCAATCATGTATATGGAAAAAATATTTAATCGGTTAGTTTTATTGTTACTTTTACAATTACAGAATGGATCCTACTCGCTATAAATGGGGAAAGTGGGGTAATTATGCGCGTAATGGTTTGGCATTTACTCGATAGATGAAGATAGATGTTAGGAATTTTTTAGTAGAGTCTCTAGTACAGGGATAATAAATGTAATCTGAATATATAAAAGTGAGATGTCTCAACTGATAAAATGCGTAATGTATATTGTATCAAATAACAATAAAATGTACTAAGAATTTCGCGGTTTAATTCAACACTACTCAAAGAAGGATCACTTGTTCCACCCTGCAAAAATAGATAAATTTTGAGATAGAATAACTTCTCGAAATCGAACAATCTCGAAATTTGCCTATTTTTGTAGGGTGGAACGAGTGATCCTTTAATTCTTTTGAGTAGTGTATATTATCGATTTACACACAACGATTTTTAAACAACACCGAATGCGCACCAGTTCTGCTAATGAAAAAATCATTTAAAAAAGGTAAATTACAAAGGTAAATTAAATTTAAATTTATAATGCACAATGCGAGATTTATTGAATTCTAAACACCAAGTTAAGAAAATGAGTTTTATTGTAATAAATAGTGATTTAAAAATAGATAATATTATAGATAATTCTTGTATTCTGTTTAAAATGAATAAGTAATACGAAATGTTTGCTTCACAATATATCATTTTGTTGTCGCCTCAATACACTTACATATCGTAAATTTCAAAAGTCAATTGCACATGCGGGCTGCTGAATATTAATTATTAGTAATTGTATTTCAAATGATAAAAACCCAGAATGTTGTACATACTATACTATCTTCTTACTCGAGCGTCGTAGTACAAATGTTAACAGGTAGTATCATCGTCGTGACACAGGGCAACTTTACGTAAACAATAGGACATAGGACAATAACTAAAAAATAATTTTCAAATATTTATTTAATATTTTACATTAATATTAGTTAAATGTATTTTCGTTTGATTTTTTATCCATTTTAAAAAATATAAAAACTTTATGTTCATTTTTTATATTATGAACAGCTATTTTCAACTTGTTTATTTTACAATTATCAAATTTTTTTTTATAGATATTTGATCATCTTTACATCTTGTGTAAGGAACTTCTGAAGGATACTAAATTAAATTATTCGGTTTTCCTTCGTTGTATGTCTCTCAATAATGGGCAACAACAAAGTCGAAAGCCGACCGAAAGGCGGCGCTCTTCGTCTCAATTCAACACCAGCAAAGATATCGGAGCCACTTTGTAATAACAATACCATTTCCGCTCTCCTCTGTTTTACCTGCGGTGCCTGCTTTATCTTGAGTTTAATCTGCACTTGTCTGGCAATATTAGTCGTTCTGCTGGACCAGACTGTCGAGGCAGCGAGCAACAGTCGACACAGTGAGAGAACGAAAAATTCAACTAATATTAGTGACACAGTGGAATAGTTTCCACGATCAAAAATTGCTCTTGTATTATACGTAATAATGTGTATTAATCACGTCTCAGATCCACAGTTTCTAAAAAAAATTGTATCATGAGAAAAAGACAAAACGCGAAATACAAATTGGAATATATATTTGTACATTTAATGAAAATTTAATCAATGAGTTATCATTTTGTCAACACAGTCGGCAAAGTGACAAGCTTCTGTCTGACACGAGTTTCATGATTGCTTGGCGGTAGATTTAAAAGTTCCTTTATAGATAATGTTCTCTTGAGATACAGCAAAATAGAGCATTTTCCAATATTTTAAAATTTGTTGAAGTCTATTTTTGAAAAATAAAGAAATTGCTTTATTACTGAAGATAGATTTGTTTATATACTTCTTTAAAAAATAATAATAGTAAATTTTATTAATAATATTTTATTTAAAATAATATTTGCAGTATAATGCAAATATTATTTTACTATATTATTGCCCATTAAAAATAACACATCACTTTCCAAAAATATTTTGTTCGGATTAATTTTCGCTTCGACTTGGTTATAGCTCTCCTTAAAGTTTTGGGCTGAATCGAACAGTAGCTAAATTTTATTTTCAACCTATATTACGGAATAGTAGCCAGTATTTTATTCCCTTATTGCTTACATCATCATGTAAGATCAATCAAATGCGATATCTGTCAGAGTAAAGACTGCTGCTTTAGGATTTATCTGTGTACAACGATAAATTATAATTATTTATAGATAACTAAAGATAACTAAAGTTACAGATATTAATTTTGTTTGTAGATTCGAATAGACCAGAGGCATATACAACAATGTTTAATCCCGATGAAAACTTCAGATTGCCAAAAGAAGTCGTACCTATCCATTATGACCTGTACTTGCATCCGAAGGTTAAAGAAGGCACATTTTCCGGAAAGGTGACCATCCTCATTGATGTTAAGCAAGACAACAACAGAACGTCCATAGCTCTACATCAAAAAGATCTCAATATTACATCTGTAAAATTAATAACGTACGGACTAGATGAAGACTATGAAATTAATATTTCTTCCGTCAGCAAGCCTACTAAATATGAAATATTTATCATAACAACTGAAAACGATATTAAATCCGGATTATATAATCTGAGCCTAGAATTTGATGGAAGTCTCAAGGACAAAATAGTCGGATTTTATAATAGCAAATATCAATATAAAAATGATAAAATTAAAGAAACTAGGTAATATAAATTTTTTATTCTACTAATAAGAAATACACAAACTTTGTAATAAAATTGATTAATTTTTCTATTCGCTAATATAGTAAAATAAATTATAATACATGTATTCCGTACATTTTTTAAATCATTAGGTACATTGCGACTACCAAATTTGAGCCAACTTATGCTAGACAAGCTTTTCCATGTTTCGATGAACCCAATTTTAAGGCGGAATTTTCGATAAAACTGGTTCATCCTATGAATGACTGCTACAGTGCCTTATCCAATATGAATATAAAGGTATTCAAATAATTTTTTGCTGTATAATAATTGCTATTTCTTTCGAAATACTATAAAACTATTAAAGAGTTTATCGAGAATTCATTTTTTGTAGAGTACACAATTACATACACCGGAACATGATCTAGCAACAGTGACTTTCGCAAAAACTGTACCTATGTCCACATATTTGGCTTGTTTTATTATCAGTGACTTTGTTGGCACAAGTAGAATGGCAAACGGCTTAAATGATCGAAAATTTCCGATCACTGTCTATACCACAAGACTGCAATCGAAGGAGAAAAGAGATTTTGCTTTGGATATTGGCGTGAAAGCTGTCGAATATTACATAAACTTATTCAAAATTGATTATCCATTACCAAAACTCGGTAAATATGCAAGAATGATATACAAAAAAACGAATAAGTGATTGAAATAAAATTAAATTTATCATATATGTTTAATGATCTGGATAGATTTATTCTATATATAAACTTTATCTATTTATTTATTTATACAGATATGGCTGGCATTCCCGATTTTATATCCGGCGCTATGGAGAATTGGGGTTTAGTGACTTATAGGGAAACAAGAATGCTTTATGATAACAGTAGTAACTCCATTTATGATAAGCGCGATGTCATTAATGTAATCTGTCACGAATTAGCACATATGTGGTTTGGAAATCTCGGTAAATATTTTATACCAATCAACTGTGGATTAATAAATACGTAAGAAAACGTAAGTTTCTTTTTTTAGTCACCATGAAGTGGTGGAATGATTTATGGCTCAACGAAGGTTTTGCTACATTCATGGCATCTAAATGTTCAGATGCGATTCTACCAAATCAGGGATATGTTAGTTTTTTAATAATCTAATTAAATGATTGACATAAATGTTTAAAATATGATATTACACGTATGTATAATATCTAATGCTGTTTTTAGATGGAAGCATTTCCTGTTGAGGTAATGCAGAATGTCTTCGTTCCTGACTCAAAATTGAGCTCTCATCCTATAGTTCATAATGTCCAAAATGCAGATGATATTACATCATTCTTTGATGGAATATCTTATAAAAAGGTACGTGAGTACAGTACATTGTTTGATAATCATTTTTGCATTTTTTATTAATTTCATATTGTTTCATTTATGTACTCAAACTATCTATTGTAGGGAGCATCTATAATCCGTATGATGGAAAATTTTTTCGGATCTGATGTCTTCTTCAGTGCTATTAGTACCTATTTGAATAAGTTTGCCTATGAGAACGCAGAGACAGCTGATCTCTTTGAGGTTTTACAAGATGCGGTTGGAAACAAATTAAATGTAACAGCTATAATGGATACTTGGACTCGACAAGAAGGCTTCCCTGTTATTAATGTGAAAAAGTTTGAAAACAAATATGTATTAACCCAGAAACGATTTTTAGACGATCAAGATGCCAAATCCGATCCTTCAAAATCTACTTATGGGTGAGTTTATCTTGGAAATACTAATCGACTATCTTATTTCAAAATTATGTTACATCTTTCAGATATCGATGGACCATACCTATTGTTTATATCACTAATAGAAACGAAGTACCTACTCTTGTATGGTTTGATAAGGATGCAAATGAAGGTTTGAATTTTAATCACATAATTTACAATCTTTTTGCACGAATTATTATCATTTCCTTATTTTCTCTTGTAAAATTTTATATTTTACAGTGATGATCGAAGTCGACGAACGTACGAAGTGGTGTAAATTAAATGCTGGTCAAGTTGGTTTCTATCGAATTAATTATAACGAAGAATGGGAAACATTCAGTGAACTACTTCGGTCCCACCATACGGTAAAGCATTATGTAATTTTTATGTTATTATATAATATATATTATTCAATATATATATATAATGTTATAATTTAATGCAAACGTTAAATAAAAACTATGACTTACAAATTAACAAATTATTTTTAATATCTTCGAAAGTTTTTTTATTACATATACTTTTCTTTTCTTTGTATTACAGAGAATATCAATGTTGGATCGAGCAAATCTTTTGGATGATATGTTTAGTTTAGCTGAGGCCGGTGAGATCGAATACGATACCGTGTTGAATATAAGTATGTATCTCACCGAGGAGTATCATTCTCTTCCATGGGCGGTTGCAAAGTCGAAACTGATAACGATGTATATTCTGTTAACTTCCTCGACTGAGCCATTTATTGCGAACACGTTTAAGGTAATGTCAATCAAAAGCGTTAAAAATTACTGTGCCGTTGCAAATATTATTTTTATATAATTCATTTTAGTACTTCGTCTCGATATTGGTAGACACCATTTACAAGGATGTAACTTGGGACGTTGATGACACAATTGAAGAAGACGTATCGCACATTGATAATAGAGTGCGACCAACAGTAATTGAATTGGCTTGTGCAATGGGTTCATCTGAATGCTTGAAAAGAGCCGGAGAGCTTTTTAAGGAATGGCTGATAGAGGAGAAGCCGCAGCATCCTGATGTTCGCGAATTGGTTTATTACTATGGTTAGTCTATCTAATAGAATCATTCATTTCCTATATATTATTTGAGTGTTAAGAAATTTTAATGGAATGCGCAAAATCTTTTATTAGGTATGCGCTATCATTCTGATGCAAGCGAATGGAGTATCATGTTTGAAAGATTTAAAGACGAGACTGATCCTGGCGAGAAAAATAAAATAATGGCAGGATTAGCAGGAATAAAATCCACCGACGTTTTAAAGGAGTGAGTATTAAATTTACTTACAACAATTTTTATAACACATTTTTTATTAAAAGTCAAATAATATAATTTAAAAAAAAACCAAAATACAATATAATTTTTTTTTTAGGTATATTATCAGAGCAACTGATGAAAGATTTGTCCGTGCTCAAGATTTCTTGAAATGCTTGATTATGATTTCCAAAAATCCCGACGGTACATTGTTAGTATGGGATTGGGTGCGCGAGAACTGGGAATTCTTAGTGAACAGATACACGTTGAATGATCGATATCTTGGTGATCTTATACCATCCATTACAAGTTCCTTCGCTACACAAACGAAACTAGACGAGATAAAAGCTTTCTTTGAAAAATATCCTGAAGCCGGTGCCGGTGCGGACGGTCGAGCTAAAACTCTCGAGACAGTCTCGAAGAATATCAGGTGGCTTGCTAAAAATATCAAAAAATTTGATAAATGGTTTTCAGAAAACTGGCCATTTAATAAAACCCGTTAAACGTACCAACAAAAGTATTTTGATATACAAGATAGTTAAAAAGGAAGGAAGACTTAATACACACCGATTTTTAACAGTTATGCATGAAGACAACTTTTTTAATTTTAATACTCGATGCATCAACTGCTGAAAATCATGACAGCCTGAAAATAACTAATTGTGATTTTTGTATGTTAATTACTATAAAGAAAATGAAACTATTACAAATAAAAACATCAAATTTTCCTGCAAAGTACAGTGAACAAGAAAACTGTATTTAATACGCTAAAATTGCATTGTGTGTGATCAAATTTATTCTGTCATGTAATTAGTAATTGTGAAAAAAGTTATCAGATATGTTAAATATGAAGTACCAATATGCATTTATGCGAAGCATATGCCTTTTATGCAACGCATTTATAAATCTTGATACTGAAATATATACAATTTTATAGAAATATAATTTTGCGATTATAAATATAGCACGTTTATATTGTTAACAAGTGATTTTTTCCCCAGTTATATAAATTTTTGATTGTCATGAAAAGCACATTCTACAATTGCATAAACGTATACAAATGCACTTTTAAAAATTGACCAATCTCTATTTGAATATTTTTCTCGTATTCGATTATGATTAGTTAATTTTTACAATTATAATTACTGTTATATAACTACGCAATTGTAGAATGAGCTTAAGACATATGAAAATTCGTAAAGGTCGAATCTATTATGAGCTCGATTAAGTTACGTTTTATTTCTCTTATAAGTGGTTTAATACACATTTGATTGGCCCGTTATGATCAATAATATAACATAAAGAGGGATGATAAAAACGTTTTAATTTATCGTAATACAGTACGCGAATATTTCTTATGAAACTATATACGCTCTAAAATGTTCTCTATATATTATACAATATATATTTTTTTAATTTTTTTATACACGAGACAGATTTTTTTAATGTAGATTTATTTCAAAATATATTTGTGTAACCACAGATGTGATTGCGCTCGTAATTAACTTTTTTTTTTTAATTTATTGCTGTGTTTCCCGTGCCAACATTTACATGGCTCTTTTTGATTGTTATTTTTATTGTTTAAATTAATAGATATCTTTTAGTGTTGAATTTGAAATTTTTATTTCACTTTCGTTGTTAGTATTTAATTTTTTTTATTCGTAATGAATAAAACAATGCGTCTCATCATTCAGTTTATGATAGGAAATATCGCGTGCAGTAACTGTCAACGACAGTTCACGATATAACAGATATCAGTCGGCTGTGAAAACATTTTGCAAGATACAAGAGAGCTTGTCGAAAAACACAATGTAAAATTGTATGATTTATCATTCTATTTGCGCTATCGAGAATTATTTACATTATTCGAATAGATTCCGGTAGAGAGAAACGATACGCAAATTTGAGACATAAAACAGATTTCAAACTGTCGCACACATTGGTTTAACGTTACGTAAACAGAGAGGCTCTTTTACAGCAATATAACATTTCGACAAATGCTCGCTCGTTAAGCAACCAATCAAATACGCAGTAACTCTGTATATCGCCAATGCAAATAATACGAGCGGTTTTAACCAAAGTAATATCATGACAAAATATTTTTTGGAACAGGCAACGCGCACATTTTTTTTTATACGTTATAGTTTTTTTTTAATAAAATTGTAAATGTTTCTTTATGTTGCATGTTCTTTCATAATATTAATTTTAATTTTTTTATGTGTATTTATTAATAAGGCTTCTTTTTAAGAAGAATATACGTTATTTATTCGATATGAATATTCCACTTTCGCATTATTCCAAATAATGCATTATTTTTTGTAATATTAAATCCGATATAATTTATAAGTTGAGTGATATTGAATAACATAATTTTTTTGTGAAGCTTTAGTCTGTAAAATACCGGTTATTTTATTCTTAAAAAAATGTTAATTAGAATGTAAGTTGAATGTAAGAGGAGAGTAATAGAAGCGTAAACGAAGCTTCTAAATTAAAGTAACAAAACGTAAAAGAAGCGTAAACGTCTCTTTCATACTTCGTTGTCTTAATTTCCGCCAGAATTAAGCTTTGTTTACGCTTCTGTTATATTACTCTCTCCTTGCATTCAACTTACATTCTAATTTTTATTTTTTTGCCAGAGCGGATTTAATACAGTTTAAATTTAAGTATGTGTGCTTAAAATTAATGTAATTAAATAATTTTTTTTCATTTTAAAAGTCAAAATTTGAAGAACCAGATAATGTAACTTAGAATTAGGTAAAGTTATTAAAAAAACATTTGTTATAAACAATTATTTACAACGTGTTAAAGAAAATGTTCGGATCTACTAGATATCTACGAAAACCGATTAAGATTAAATTAAATTTTACGATTAAAAAAATTTAAATGTAATTTTAATTGATAGTATTTTTTAACATGAGAAATCAACGCGGATTGTTTAAATTTTCGCAAATAGCTATAATTTAAACGTACAATTTTTTCATTCGTGTCGAAAGTTAATAGAGATTGTTATCATTTCCGATCAATAAAAGGTTCGTCGTGCTGAATTGGCGCCTGTCTTGTACAAAAAAGGATCTACCTTTTATTGGAACGAATATCACAAGTTCTTTAAATGATCACATACAGTTGTCTCCCTTTTCTTCCGGATAGATAATTTATAGTAACAGAATCTGACAAGTTTAGGAGAAATTTATTTTTTCCTTGTAGAAATATTGAGAATATTCTTCAAGTTTTATAAATAGTTAATGAAAATAAAAAACAAGTAAAACGAAAAACTAAAACTGCAGAGATGCACAAAAATTATGAAATTTTCTTATAATTTATATCTTAAGTTTAAGGAAATCCTAAGATAGACTTATCGAACATTACAAATTAAAAAGTACTTTAAACTAACTGTATATATACATTGCAAATTCCTACTATACTATTCAAATACGCATAAAGAGATGCGATCGATTTAATGAAAAAATTCGAAAAAAATTTGAAAAAGATTGCAGCACGCACCTTTGTGCATATTTTAATTATGTAAAAAGATTTTATAATTTATACACCCAATTCGAAGTACTTTCTACCTTATTTTAATAATTTTATATCCTGTCTTCTTATCATTGTTTTTAATAATTTTATCGCTTTGGAGGTTTTCCTTAATAAATATTAACTTATTTCAACACAAAATTATTTTAATTAAAAATATTTACACAAACGAAAATAAAAATATTTAGTACTAAATAAAGTACAAAAATAGTGCAAATAAATAAATAAAGTACAAAAATTTAGTACTAAAGCTTAAAGAATTATTAATATTTGTATAAAGATTAAAAAAATCATTAAGTTCAATATGATAATTATTGATTTGATAAATGGAGGATGTTTTGTATGCTTTTATCCAACGATTTATTTACTTAAACAGATACATACTTGATAGTTTTCATATGGGTATACATGTATTGCTGGATTAGCATTGGGCGTGCTGTGCAATAAATCATTCAGGTGATTAAATATTTCCTGATGAGCCGCTGCGTGAGCAGCTTTTATTCGAATCTTTTTTGTGCATTACTATTGACAAAAATTGATTCTCACACATTTATAATACTTGGCTAAACCACAAGAGCAATACTAACAATAAAATAAATATGTCTAAAAATACGTTATATATTATCAATTAAATCAATTTTTAAAAGTCTTAGTAGCAACGTTTTAAAAGTTTAAAAGTTTAAAAAAGGTTAAAAGTTTAATTTAATTATAAAATGTCACAAAATATGCATTTATTTTTATTTACAAAGATCGAGAAGACAGAAAAAGAAGGAAATCGTATAGTGAAAGCTCATTTGATAATTATGGAATTTCCTTTAAAATATGATTTTTTAAATATTATTTATATATCTATTTTCCTACAATATCTTTTACTCTAAACTTATATTAATATGAGAAAAATCGCGGAATTGTATGCAAATGCATATATGAAGATATCCTAGAAAATTATTCGGATACATTACAAAAGAACATTCTAAAATAACTGTATTGTAATTATTGTGTACCTATGTTAAGACGAAGCAAGCTTAATGAATTAAAAATAACGTAATAGTTTATATAATTAAGCAGCTGCGCTGTGCATTTATTTCTCATTTTCTTTCATTGACGTCGCAACTACGTTTGCGGTGCCCTTCGAATGCGTACTTGCGTCACTTGTGGATATGATCGAGCCTCCACGGGGGCTAGAAAGATTGTGGCAATTCGTAAGAAAACTGATGACAAAAAGAATATTATTCGAGCAATTAATATCAATTGTATTAGCTCTGCTCTCCGTGTTTCAATTTCAGAGCATTAAAAGAAACTTCTCTAAGATTCTCCTCTTTCGTATCTCATTGCACTCGTAGATTGAATAAAACTATTGTCCCGGTTGATTTCACCCTATTCAATTTGTAATTTTGCTATTTTCCTTATTCCGAATGTGACTCCTTTACTGATAAACTCTCGCTAACACAAGACTCTTAAGCCTAATCTGTGCTTTTTACTTCCTTTCTTGCTTTGTATTACTTTTCTTGCCTTTTTTCTTCTTATCCTGTCTTCGTTTTCTAGCAGAAACAGGAAAAATTGATAAAAGTCGACGAATTTCGAAAGAGACAATAAGAAACACGATTGTCGATAAAACGGTCGTAAGGAGAGTAAAAAGTAAGAGGTAAGAAACAGCAAGCAAAGAACACTATAAATTATACTTTATTTTCACGATTCTCAAATCGAGAACCGCGATCCTTCGATGTCGCTATGCAGCAAACGTGCAGCAAAGAAATAATTTTGAATTCTCATGGATTTTACTCGACTTAGGATCGTTTATTCCATCTTTGAATAAACTATGTGATAATTTACCTGTTGGATGAACAAAAAAATAAAAAAGTAAGAGACTAAGACAATGAGTTAAAGTTTCTATTGAAAGGTGGAACAACCTAGCTTTACTCTTGGTTTTTTTTTTATTAAAAATCAAATAATATCTTTACTAATGTTTTTCCGAGTTATCACATAAGCAATCCACGAACAATCGTTGCAATTCTAATTTGTTACTTTCTTGTTAAACAAAAAAGTACACGTCAACGGACATGCTTATGTAGTCTGACGGCCGGATGTTCTTGATTCGACCAATGGTCTT